TGTCAGTAATTTTTCTGGGTTAATGAGAGGTGATATTATGAATGCTGATGCGGTGAGAGACGCTTTGAAAAGGAAGGTGACAAGGACATTAGCACATAAACGAACACACACACACACGCTCATATGGTTCACACTGAACTAGGGCTGGGTATCGTTCAAAAATGTTCGATATCGATACTGGTTCCTGAACGATACTTTTTTCGATACCAATTTTATGAAATCAATTTTAACAAGATTACATTATCTAACAAAAAACTTTGGTTTTATTTTCCAAAGACTCATCTCCTGAGCCACTGCACAAAGGAACAAAATGTAACCAACACAATAAATCAGTGCAAAGTATCGAGGCAATTCGGTCGGTGCCTAAAAAGTATCGAACTCGATACCCAGCCCTACACTGAACAGCCGCCAATACTGGAAAAAATCATTATGGGTGGGCGGAATGACCGACATCTTACATCTTGGTATGTGTAGATCACAATGTAGGCATTTTTTCCTGAAAAATCAATGTGCAAATGGTTAATGTATTAAATAGCCATCTGGTAATGGTATTTTTTAGGGATGCACGATATATCGGCCACCATATCGGTATCGGCCGATAAATGCTAATTTTTTCTGTTAGGTGCATCCCTAGTATTTTTAGATAAGCCGGTCAATGAAATACTGTACAAATTAAAGGCACTTCATGTCTTTTTCACTTTTTATTTGGAGGACACAGCAAAAAATCAGGCTAGATTCACTTTATATAAGAGCAAAAGTTGTATTAAACTCTTAATGGGTGAAGAAAATGTAATTTAAGAATTCATTAGTGTGAATTTACATTGAATTAATGATGCACTACAGGAAGTTGAATTACAATTATTAATTGTATTGGTCTCAATTGCAGTTCTAAATAAATGTAATTATGGGAAATGAAGCGTTCTTCCACCCTGACACATAAAGTAAGTTTATTTATTAATATGAGGATGTGTATATACATTTTTTTTTACAAAATTGTGCAGGTGGCATTTCAAATAAAAAAAAAAAACCTACAGTGTAATTTTTCCCCCCAAAGTTATAGGCTAAGTAAAAGAGTACATTTTTTTTACAAAAAATATTATTTAATTAATTTATTTTAATAAATATTATTATTTATTGTATTTATTTTTCTTTATTTAGTTTTTCTACTTCAAAATTTCACATTAAATTTCATGTGTTACTGTTTTTTTTGTAATTATTTGTAAAATTCACTAGCAAATAATATAGTTTCTACACTGTTTTTTTTTTCAGTGCAGAGTTAAGGACTTAATGAACTTTATTTAAACTTTCAGACAAGGCTTTGTCAAGCCATAATGTAAAGTTTGTCTTGACAAACCTTCCTTTTCTAGTTACACTTAACTGCATTTTGTTTATGTCAGTTGTACTTCAATTCAATTCAATCCTGTTTGCTGTCTCAATTAAAATTCAGGAATTGAATTGGAATTTAAAAAGCATTCTCAATTAAATTCTGAATGCTCCACCCTGTTGTAAATTGAATGATGTACACGCACATCTGGCATCAGTTGAATTCTGTATTCTCTCATGTATGTATATGTAGACATACTGTATATTGCAAAGCAGTCCTTTTCTATTCTGTCTACAATAGTGTAAATGCTATGCAAAACCTTTGTCACACATTCCTACCATTGTGTGGTAGATACGTCATAACGTTTTGCTCTATATTCGTGTACGTGTGAGTGTGTGTGGTGTGAATGTGTGTAATAACTCCACAAGCTCCATCAGTCTGTAGGGTGAGAGATGACAGGTAGTGTTGAGCCCACGGTTTAAAAGCTTTAAACTGAAGGTTTCCTGAGGATCTAGTGCAGAAAGACATTTTTAAACACACACATTTTGAAAGGCTTTAAAAGGCTTCTGAAATTAGTGGTCGTTTTAAAGGTCGTTGTGAAATCTGTGTAGGCCTGTCTCATGCAGTGCTCTGGCTGAGCAGGTTTGATTCAGTATTGTTTTCAAATTCACTTTTGGCATTAACTTACTCAGCAATAGGTCCTCTGCAGTGAATGGGTGCCATCAGAATGAGAGTCCAAACAGCTGATAAAAACATCACAATAATCCACATAACTCAAGTCCATCATTAATCTTGAGAAGTAAAAAGCTATGTGTTTGTAAGAAACAAATCCATCAAGACATTTTAAACTTCAAACCATTGCTAAAATACGAGTCCTCTATCCATAATATTGCTTTCTCCAGGGAAAAAGTAATCTGGGGTGTATTCCAGAAAGCACGGTTAACTTACCGTCAGCTAAACCCTGAGAGAATATGAATTATATAGTTTGTTTGATGGTAATTATATATTAAGTTCAATTCAATTCAATTCAAGTTTATTTGTATAGCGCTTTTCACGATACAAATCGTTGCAAAGCAACTTTACAGAATCGCGGTATACCTTGAAACCGGTAATTGGCCCATGCCTGTTCTGGAATACACCTCAGGTCTGAATCAGGTGAGAAATATGCACAGATCGAGCACCGAAACAGTTCTAAGCAAATATGTAGGTGGATTTTGATGTGAGGACAACAGGGGATGGACTTTTTCACTTAAGGAAGCGTTATTATGGACTCGTATTTGGTGACGTCAAGGTCATGTGACCTTGGTATAGTTCATTTTATAGCCTACGCTTATCTAGGCGATTTTATTTAGGCTTCAAGATTCATAAATGTTATGTTCATTTGTGAAGATTATGATGAACAAAATGTATAAGAATACAACTTTTGTTGGTCCCACAGTTTATTTTCTGCAATAATCCAAAAGCCAATGGTAAAATCCTATTGGATTATTGTTGAGGGAAACGGGGTGATGCAAACTCCCAGGTTGGCTTACAAAAATGCGTCATCAGTGCAGCACTCATTTGGTTCAAGGCAGGGCTGTACGTTAACTTTTTTTTCACATAGCACTGGTGCTACAGAGGTTGAAAGTTTTGTAGCACA